GCATCAGCATGCACAGTGCACCTGAACAGCAGGTGAGCCTGAGCCTGTCTGGAGTCACCTGCCCCATCTGGCCTCTGCCTGGCTCAGATAGTTAGGGGAGGGGTGGGCTGCAGGCCCTACCTCACCTCTCCTCCACCTGCCCTTTGCTTCTTCTAGAGTTGCATTTGCTCATATTGTGGGATCATTTGCTCGCTTCATCCTGCTTCCTTTAGTAATGGGCAGACAACAGCAACAGAGTATTAGGTTGCATTTGGAAGCTATTTGATGGATGAAAAAACAAATGCATAAGTGGACAAATGAACAAAGTGAAGTCTAGATAGTCAGACATGCATATTTTAAAACTATTTCTCTACTTCTATGGCATGGGGGAACAGAAATCAATGGCTTTCTGATGTTTTTTTTTTTTTAACTTGAGAGTTTAAGGAATATATTCTATTGTACTTGATTCCAATGTTAAAACAAAATAAGAAGGAGTTTTATGTGGCCTGAGTTGGGGAAGGGGATAGTACAAAAGGAAAGGGAAAGAATTCAAGAGGGGAAAAATTCATCCTGTGGAGTGGGGGTTGATAAATGTCATTCTATCCCAAATCAAACATTTCTGAGTGTCATTACCCAAGGAAGGCTTGATGGAGGGATGGTGATACTGATAATCCACAAGTCTTTTCCTCCTCTGACATCCTCCTCTTCCTCACTCACTCTTCCCTATTCCTTTCTAACCCAATTTTTGGTTCATACTGAAAAGCCAGTCTGGCATGGTTTCCTGAATGGATCAAGTGTGCCTGAGTTCCAGAACACATATCCCCTTGATAATAAAGCACCTTCATAAAAATTAGAAACATGGGTCACAGCTCCACAGGTACATGGTAAGTGAATGAAGATGCTGCTTTGTGTTAATGAGAAAAATATTCAACATCAGTCCTGGTTCTGGAAGGAAACAGATGAAATACTCACAATTACGAATAATTGAGAAAAGTATAAGTGGGAGCTACCATTTGCAAAGGTGTGGGCACAATTTAGAATGGTACAGTATGCGGGGTTGGCAACAGTGGGGAGCCATTGTTCTCCACTAACCTTGAGGGACAAGAGGAGATAGCCCTGTATTCAGAACCCAACAGGAACAACAGCTTTGGGAGATGTGACCTTCACCAAAGGGAGTCAATCAGTGGCCACCCAGAAGGGAGGGAGTCAAGAGAGATTCTTCCCTTGGGTCTTCTGCCCATGGCTCCCATTGGTGGAACCAGCCATGAGCTGTAGGGTGAGGGACAGAGTCCATACCAGTCAGCTGTCTGGAGCATAGAGGAGGGTGAAGGGTGGGGAGTGGATGTAGGGAAAGAGGCCAGTGAAAAACATCAGGCCATCGTGGCCCTTTCTCTAGGAAGATGTAGTCTAGGCCAGGTACTCCAAAGAGGTGGAACAGGACTTCCTGTCATCTTTGCTCATTTTCCTGGGCCACATTCTTTCTGCAGAAAAAAAAACATATATGACAGCCTGGGGAGTTTTCCCAGCCTTTTCATAGGTGAGAATATTATAAAAGGATCTCATGTCTCAAAAATAAATACAGAAAATCAAAACAACCTAAGTAGATGCCTCTACCAAATATGTCTCTACTCTTCTTCCACTTTGGCTTTATTTTCTCCCAAAACCTCTTTCTTCTGTTAGCAAATGGCATATCCATGCACCTGGTCACTGGAGACTGAAACTTGAATTTCTCCCTCACCTTCTGAGCCCCATGCCTGGCTCTGCTTATCATCAGATCTGTAAGTGCTTGTTGAAATGAAATGAGTTGTAACAAAATAAGACCTTCCTGGGTTGGCACTGCCTGACTTTAACTGAGTTAATCTGTAATCACACTATGTCTGCTTTATTATTTGTGGCAGAATGTAATTTGCCTTGCTTTCCTTTCCCCATAGTCCATACCCTTTTAATACAAAGAGAACCCTACTTTTTAGTTCTGAAGGATTTCTCACCCAACTTCTGTTTGTGTATCTTATCAAATACTGGAAAAGACCAGAGGAATTAAAGCCATTAAGGAGTTGCATTTCATAGGCAAATAAAGCTTCTCTCACCTCATAGACTCAATGAATTCTTCAAGTAAGCTTTTAAAAAATATTTTGCTAGGTGAGGTGGGGCACCACTATGATCCTAGCTATTTGGGAGACTGAGACAGGAGGATAGTAAGTTTGGGGCCAGCCTGGACAATGTAGTGAGATCCTGTCCCAAAATAAAATTAAAAAGGGCCGGGGATATAGCTCCGTGGTAGAGCACCCCTGGATTCAAACCCAAGTAACTAGGGGAAAAAAAGAAAAAGGAAAAAGAGAGAAAATGACATGTCTCTTCTGTCACCATTCACTTTACTTCAATCAAATCTAACTGGATGTGGCAAGCACCTGAATGGAACTGTATTTGTTTAATATTGCTGCATTGGTAGGGGTCTCTACTAAGAGGCTGGGATGCCTCTATTTACTTCCTATTTACTTACTCACCTAGCTCACATTTTTTATTTAATTGTGTGCCGGGCACTTTTTTAGCTGTATAGACAAAAGATCATTTTAATGGCCTTAACAAGTAGTATTTGTTGATAGGAAATTCCCACACAAAACATCTAACTTTTTGCAAGCTTAAGAGGCAGATGTTATTCTCGTCTCTGGTTTGTAGATGAGGGTATCAGACATCTCAATTTTGAACCCTTTCCTTCCACCTTTTTACTCCAGTGGAAATGAAATGAGTTGTAACAAAATAAGACCATGCAGGCTGGCCCAGCTACACTCGGGGGCAACTGGTCAAGGTCTGGCCACACTCCTGCTTCCTGCCCTGGGAAGTCCCAGACACCTAAGATGGAGGGCCTGTGGCATCCACTGGAAGCTCATATATCCACAGCTAAGAAATGGAAGAGATCCACGCTCACACAGGCTCCCGTTACCACTGGGGGATGGACCAACAGATAAATGCTTCTCTGAGTCCTCCGAGACCCTTTCATAGGCTCTTGCTGAGGCCCCATGGCCCACTGCCAACTCAGCAGTGCATCCTTGCATGGGCCTTTCTTCTTCCCCATTCTGCTTCCTATCCCTCACTCCTACTCCTGGGATCTCTTCTCCAATCAGCTACTTGCACACCAGACTTTCTACCTTAGGCTCTACTTCCAGGGAACACAGATTAAAATCATGAGATTAGAAGGTTAAATATCGCAGAGTTTAAGGAACTCTGGGATTCACATTCGGTCCCTCTGACTCCAAATTCCGTGTGCATTTCTCTTTGTTCTACTTGTATTGAGCAAACTAATGGTCGGTGTGCACAGAGGCCTGGATACACCAATAACTAACTGCAAAAGGTAAGTGTCAAATGGAAAACAGGAGCTATGACAGTAGGTCTCGTGTGTGGGCTGGTCAGGGAATGCTCACAGAGCAGGTAACAGAGAGGCCTTTCCTAACAACATTCCATCATTTTTATCTCAGAGCATCATTGTTTTCTTCTATCCTTTATCACAATGTGATAATACATATTTCTTTCTGTTTACTCTCTCTGCCCTCTCAGGGTAGGGATCATGTCAGGTTTGTTCACACAGAAACATAATATCCACAGCATCTAGCACAGTGCCCAGGACATAGATGGCAAATCAAAAACTCAGTCATAATTGTTAAACAAATAAAAAAATTGTTGATAAAGAATAAATGAATGCCATTAAAGGCAAAATGAATAGTAAAAACAAGAAATGAAAGAGTATGTAAATATAACCTGTTCAGAGAAAGTCTGTGACTGGTTATGTAGGATGCATTTGTGGGGAAGGGTTGCAGGGAGTGGCTGCAGAAAATACATCTTGCAGTAACACTGAGGCCAGATAAGCATTATAGTCCCATTCTTTGTGATGAAGATAAGATTGTCCGGTAACTGGTTACATAACTTGGGTTCTCATGTGTCTGCTATTGCCTGCATTCAAGTGTGCTTTCTTCTCCACTTGGCAACTGAAACAGGACCAGACCTTGTTTACAGGTGTGGGTCTTTTAATTTCAGGTTTGCTTGATCTAAGCTTGATTCTTTCCTGGCAGTTACCTGATGCATTTTGTAAAGTTGGGTGTTGGCAAAATCCTGTCCTAAATCTCTCCCACGGATGGTACTACTGGCTCTGTCTGCTTTTGAGTTACTTGTCTAGGAGTCTTGCTGTTCTGTGCTCTCTGTCTTGCCTTTCCTATCTGAACTTGTTACAGTTTGGATGTGAGATGTCCCCCAAAAGCTCATATGTGAATAGTGCAAGAAGGATCAGAGGAGAATTGATTGGGTTGTGAGAGTCTTTACCCAATCAGTGAATTAATCCCCTGAGAGGGATTAACTGAGTGGTAACTGAAGTGGTAGGGTGTGGCTGAAAGAGGTGGGAATTGGGGGTGTGACTATGGGATATATTTGTATCTGGAGAGTGGGGTCTCTCTCTGCATGCTTCCTGACCACCATGTGAGCTGCTTCCCTCCACCACACTCTTCTGTCATGATGTTCTGCCTCACCTAGAGCCCGAGGAATGGAGCTGGATTTCTATGGACTAAGACCTCTGAAACCATGAGCCCCTAAATAAATCTGGTCAGGTCCTTTAGTCACAGCAGTTAAAAAGCTGACTAAGAAAACTTCTACAGCATCAGCCTTCAGGATCTTACTAATCACACAAGGTGGTATAAGATAGTTTTCATTTATCCAAACATATGGTAAGACTGTCCTGTGGTCGCAGGCCTCTCCTGGTTGACTTGTGGTTCTATGAACTCAGCACTGTTCAAATACTTGGCTGATATTCTGATGATTGGGAGATTCATCCCTCCATTCTTTCAGCCCTAGTTTGCTGAGGTGGGCTCATCAAGACCAATTCCATTCCAATGGACTCTGTGTACTAAAGGACCTGGAAAAACATACTAGATGATAGAATTGTTTCCTGCTGTCCTGCCTTTAGCTAAATTTAAAAAAAAAAAAAACATATTCCAGCTATTCAGCAGTTCTCACACTCTTTCTCTTTTCATTTGCAGAAGCCCGATTAGAAGCACACAGACACCTGTTCCTTCCTGGCTCCTTGGGAGATAGTTTCTACCCTTGGTGTACTGGCATTTTAGGAACCACTGAAACTCACCTTTAACACTGTTTATTTTTAGTGTCCTGCATTTATATTTAGAAGGGAAGATCTGTCAGGCTTCCAGGATCATCATTCCTGCAATTTTTGCTGGAGCACGGGGACACCACGAGGAGGGAAATTTAGTCATGCATGTAATGCCCCCATTTATTTCCTGGAACTAGTGACCCAGCACAGGCACATGTACCAAACCTACAAGGAGAGAGTGGGCTGACCTTCAGTTGCTTAGACCTGGCCATTCACCAACACTTCCAAGTTAGGACAGGCCTGCTAATGGACTTGGAAGTTTTCTAAGAGAAAGAACAGGTAGAAATTTGTGAGGATCAAGAGAGGCTGCTTGCTAGCCTGGCAAGGTGGCACACATCTGTGATCCCAGATACACAGGAAGCTGAGGCAGGAGGATTGCAAGTTCAAGGCCAGCCTGGGAAACTTAGCAAGACAGTCTTTAAATAAATAAATAAATAAATAAATAGGTCAGGGTATGCAGCTCAATGGTAGAGTGTCCCTGGGCCCAATCCCTAGCACTGCACACAAAAAATAAAAATCAGAAAAAACTCAAAAGGAGAGAGAGCAATGCTTGCAAAAAAGCAGGTAAAATTACTTCCATCCTGCAATCTTGCCCCTCTTTTCCTTTTAGTTCCTACAAAATGTGTTCCTGTGCATTTAAATTTTTAAAAAACAAGTGCTATATATATTAATATAAAATTTTGAAGGAAGAATTGATACAACATATCATAAGGACCTATATTTCTAATGTTTGAAACGCTCTTAAGCATCAAGTAATAAAGGGCCAAAAAACCCTGTAGGAAAAAAATGATTAAGATAATTTTTAAAGAGATGTAAATATGCCTTTAAACATATTAAAAGATGCTCAAATTCATAATTAAGGAAATGAAACTTAAAATTCCATCTTTAAAAAATGCTATACCATTTCTCATCTATAAAATTTGTAAAATTTCAAAAAGCATGACAGATGACAGCAGTGTCTTGCTGAGACTGTAGGAAACAGGCATTTTCATACACTGTGGTGGCAAATTGGTAGACCCTGGATGGAGGCAAGATCAAAGTTCCCTGTGTACTTATTTTCAATCCAGAAATCCCCCAAATTTAGGAATATACCCTGAAGATATTCCCAAGAGCAGAAAAATACCTTTTCATAAGTTTATTTATCCCAGTATTATTTTCAAATACAAAGTATGGAAAACAATCTAAATGCTCATGCATAGGAGATTATCGGAATACACTAAGAAAGTCACATACTGGAGTGCTATTCAGTTATATAAATAAATGTGGGAGATCTCAATGATCTGATATGGAGATAGTTCCAGAATACATTGTTAAATGGAAAAAAGTGCAAATGAGTACCCAGTATGTTACCTTTCATGTAGGAAAGGAGGAGCAAAAGTATATACATACATTTGCTCAGTTTCACACAAATTAATACAGGGAGAATAAGCCTGAAACTGAGATTGGCTCCCTAGAAGGAAGTCAGGAACAAAATAGATAAAAAGAAGGAATGGAATACAGGACAAGGGGTATGCCTTTCTATAAGGGTCTGACTTTCAGAGTTATAATGATGTTGCACATACTAAAAAGAAAAGGAAATCAATAATTAAATAAAAATCATTCTGGAGATCCATAAAATAAAATATAAATAACAACAAATGAACCCAACTGGATTACAAATGGATAGCAGAACCATAGTGCAGAAGGTAGGAAGGAGAGAAGTAGGTAATTCTAGAAACAGTATCTTGGCTACATTTAGTAAGACTAAAGTAAAAGTATAGCTGAATACAAATGGTATATACTCTAGTCTGTAATTTTACTTTTTATGGAGATATTGATTAGCAATTCTGAAGCTATTTTGGGTATTCTAGGATTGAGCAAATAAGTAATATGGATGATGAAAGCCAATTTTCTCATTCTAATAGAAAGGAATTGTAGATAAGAATAGCTGAAAAGAAAACAGAATTGGTGTTGTGGGTTTAGATTAGAGATGCTGATATAAATTTATGATCAATATGAACTGTGTATGTATATCTCCATACACATATGTCTATATTCTTAGCTCTGTCTGCTCTAAGGGACTTAAAGCAATCACGTTCCAGTACCAAAGAACATATTTACTGATTAAATATTGGTTTATAAATAATGTTTGCTTATGACAAGAACCAAGGATCTTTGGAGAAATGGCAGATTCCAGGTATGGGCAGGAAGAATATAAGAACCAGGAATATCTTGTGGTGCCATGAAGTGAGGAAGTACTCAAAATATGATTGGGACATGTGAAAAGGACATACAGGTCAAATTCAAGGGTCTCCCAATGGTCAACCGTGTGATAATCTGACTAACAAAATATCTGTCAACAATAATAGATTATAACAAACAGAATAAAATAAATATCCATGAGTCCCTAGTGATACCATTAAATAAATAAGTTTTTAAAATGGAGGAGAGACAGCTTTCGCTCGTAGTAGAATTTAATCCACAAGGGTAGAGGATGATGAAACTAGAAATTACTAACTGGGAAGCAATTAGTAATTAATATTATAGGCAAGAATCATCAATAGGAGTTAAAATTAAATTAAATGTTATAAATTATTAAATGTTAGAGGCAAGAATCATCACTAGGGGTTAAAATTACTACCATAAATATGCTGAGAAAAAAATATTTGCCTGGTTTCTATGTGTCTCCCCACAATGGAGAAAAAGAATAACTTCAAAGAAAAGAAACCCCAATCTTAACCAGGCAATCAAAGTTGAGATCACCAATATGGAGACACCACAACATCAGATTTCTCCTGATGTGCTGTGCTGCTTCTGTGGGGTTCATGCCAAAAATATGTTACCTGAGTGTCTTCAGAAGGAAACATCAGATAAGCCTCCAAATGCATGCATCCCACACAATAGCAGGAAGGGTACCCATCAAGGTCATGAAAGACCAGAAAAACTGAGGACCAGCTGAGATTGGAAGATAGTAAAGTGATATGAAAACTTTATCTTGGAACAGGAAAAGGACAACTAATGATACAACCAGAGACATTTGAGAAGGTCTATACACAGCTAATAGCATCATATTAAGGTTAGCTTCCTATAATGTGGTGATATAAGGTGTTAGCCTTTGAAAGATACAATGTCTTACATATTTTTTGTAACTTTTTTCTAAGTTCTAAATTTTTTCAAAGTGAAGAGTTGAAAACATTTTAGTTAATTAATTGATTAATTTTGAAAGGAAGAAAAGGGTACGTAATGCCCTCACCAACATACTCTCCAGGAATCAGTTTTATTCTAGCACATAGTTCTTAATAGTTTCTCATATATCCTTCCATAGATTTTTCTACACAAATAAATACAAGTATATTCATCATATATGTTTAGGCATATACGTACTAGAGAGCCTCCAATGAAAGTATACATTGTTATTTTAATGACTACATTATATTATATAGATAACCTGTGTCACCTGTTTTAATTTCATCAGTAATTGACATGATATTTCTAATATTTTGCTATTATGAACAATATTGTCATGAATGCTTCATTTCCTATATATACTTGTATTTACAGTAAAAATGCTTGGAATTAAAATTTCTGGTTTAAAATGTATAAAGATTTTTATTTTTATTGACAAACTTACCTGTAGAGAAAGAAATGCCTATTCTTCACATTCTCATCAACACAGTATATGAAATTGTCTTGGCCAATATGATGGGTGAAAACATACTTAATTATAGTTTTAATATGTGTTTCTCTTACTGTGAATCAAGTTACAGAACATATATGATGATAAACACATTATGATGAATATATATGTATTTATTTTTGTGGAAAAATCTATGGAAGGATATATGAGAAACTGTTAGGAATTATGTTCTGGGAAAAAAAAACTGATTCCTGGAGAGTATGTTGATGAGGGCATTATGTACCCTTTCATTCCTTCTAAAATTATTCCATAGATGTACACTGCATCTGTGTTTTCCCCCATGAACTTTGTCTCTTTGACTATATCTTTGCAGTAATTTGAATTTATCAACTGCCTTGCAAAAAGTTATTATTATTAGTTATTAATATTCCCAGGTTCATGGGGTCAAGAAATTCCCAAAGTTAGAACGCTATTTGTAAAGAAATTGAGAATCCCAGTTTGCCTAACTTTAACTGGAAAAGTTTCTACAACCTTGTTTCCCAGGTAAACTAAAAAAAAAGGGGGGGGGGCTTTCTCAAATTGTCAGAGTGACAATTTCATTATAGTTACAGGTGAACCTTTGTCCTCTCTTCCTGAAAGAATGCCAATGGTCTTTCACCTGTTGGCTGGTTCTTCTTTGAATTTTGAAGCTAAAATGTTACCAATTTTGTGTTGGAGACTCCAACTCTGTTTATTTATACAAACAAAAGATGAGGTCAGAGGAAGACATGGAAATTTTAAAAAGGTATCTGGAAATCTGGTACAAATTACCAAATACATTAGAGAACATGACCAAGTTCCCGTGCAAGCCTTTGATCAATGCTTTTCCAGGTATGGTCAGCAAACATCAGAGCATCAGAATCTTGGAGGGTCTTGTACGAAGTGCTCTACCCCATTCTTATGGAATCCTTATCCCCAAGTACAAAATATCTGCAATTCCAAAACATCCACTGGGAATTCTTATATATACTAAAATTTGTCTACCAAGGCAATACCATATAGAAATATATATATATATATATATATATATATATATATATATATGAGTTAATTATGAACACACTATCTTGCTATGCTGGCTGACAGAGCTAGAACAATGAGCTTTCTGCAATAAAAGGAACCAGGGCTCCTTGGAGAAATGGCTGATTGAAGAACTGGGTAGGATTTATAAACATGAAACTGGAGTATCTTGTAGTCCCACAAGGTAAGAATGAGAAGGAGGAGAAGGAAGAAGAGGAGGAGGAAGGACAGGAGGAGGAGGAAAGAATAAGGAAGAAGATAAAGGAGAAGAGCAGAAAATAGAAAGAAAAAAAATCCATCACAATAATACAATGATGGGCTTTATAAAAGGTACACAAGAGCCAATACAACTGAAAATGCTCTTTATGGCCAAGCCTGGAACTATTTGAGCAACAAAATAAAGTAGATCTGAATATAACAACAACAATAACAATAATAATTTTCTGCACTCATAAAAATTTAAATAAATTATTGAATAAATAACTTGGGAGGAGAGAAATCTACTATGTAAAAGAATTACAAATAATTTATGTAAATCCTCTCACCTCAAAAAGGTGACTCATAATCTTCCTAAGTGTGGGGGTGCACATGGTGACTTCCTTCCAAAGAGTCATGTGTGGGGAAGGTGAAAAGGAGTAACTGTACAGTGGAGAAACCTAACAAACTACCTCAGTTAGGTGATCAAGGTCCACATCAACAGTAGGTCTGATATAATGTGATGGAAACAGCATTTCACCTCTGTGGTGTTCTGCCTCCAAACCTAAAACTAATGTATAATCCCTTTATACATGAAAAAAAGTCAGACAGATCTGTTTAGGGATGTTCTACAAAATACCTGACCAGTACTCCTCAAAACTGTCAAGCTTGTCAAAGATAAAGTCTGAGAAATTGTCACAGCCAAGAGAATCTAAGGGGACATGACAACTATATGTAAAGTGGTGTCCTGGAAGAGAACCTGGAACAGAAAAAGGACATTAGGCTAAAAAATAAGAAATCTGAATTATGGATTTAAGTTAACAATAATGTATTTATCTCGGCTCATTCATTATAATAAACAGATATTAATACTACTGTAGATACTGTTAAAGGGGAATTAGATAAGAGGTACATGAGAAAACTCTGTACTACCTTCTTCTCTGGAAGTCTAAAACTATTCTAAAAAATAAAAAATTTATTTTAAAAAAATGGAGGGGAAATCTATGGTTTAAAAGAAGCACAGAGATACCAATCAAACAAGAAAGTATGGATGGTGGAGGAGTGGGAAACACTCACGTGGCTGCAGGGAATGTAAAGTGGCACAAGTATCTTGGAAAATAATTTGGAAATTTTTATTTAAAAGTTAAATACATGCTCTCACACACACATACACATACAGTACGACCCAGCCATTCCACTTGTAGGCATTTATTCAATGACAAGGAAACCTTACGTTCACATAGAGACTCCGTGAGTGTTCATGGCAGCTTTATTGAATAGCCACATGCTGAACACCACTCATCATCTACAAGTGAAGATGGATAAACTGATAGATCCATCTAATGGAATAATACTCATCAATAAATAAAGGGAATGAACCATTAATATATGCTACTATGTGAATCAATCTCAAAATGATAATATAAGCCCTCCAAAAGAGAAGGAATAAAGGGATTTAAATAAAGCTCTATGAATAGCAAACTACTATAGTGACAAAAAATAGAGTTTGGAGACTGAACCTAATACCAGGAAACATGGGGTCTTAGGTGACATAGGGAACTAAAAATTGGGTCCCCTACCACACAAGTGGAACCCAGGAGAGATCCCTGGGTTAAAGTCTTCCAGCATGGACCAGCAAAACTGGGCACTGGAGGTGCCCTGGTTTAAAACCCCCAGAACAACTGGCATTTGGTGAGGAGCCTGGAACCCACCTAAGACTAAACCCTGCTTCTAGGAATTCCACCTACCTTACTACCTCTCTCACTCCAGTAATCCAGAGGGTGGAGCATCACACTCCAGACGTCACACCTAAAACTGCTGAGAAGAGAAGCTGAGAATGCAACAGAAAGAATTTTTGAACTTTTCATTGAGTTTTAAAAAATTCTTTTTCTCTATTTAATTGTGACTTTACTGGTACATGAACATTTATACATAATCATATTTGGTTTTTTTCTCATTTCTAGCATTTTTGAAGCCAGTTATTTTTCATGGATTAGTTTTTTGGGAACTGGAATGTTTTATTAGTATATTTTAGTTTTGTTTTATATTTTTATTTTAAATAATTTTTACTTTATATATATATATATATATATATATACATTTTCATCTGTTTCCCTTGATTCTTTTCTTCAGCTAGTAGCCAATATCTGTTGTTCCTTCTTTCATTTTCCTTTAATTTTTTACCTCTTCTCTCCTCCTCCCTCATAATCATCACATCCTATATCACTTCTTTTCTCTCCCTGGTACCTCCAAAAAGAAAATAAATGGTATAAATACATGCAATTAATGATACCTCAATAAAGATATTAAAGAAAACAACAAACCCTCAAAAACAATCTCAACACCATACAACTTTTCATTAAAAATTCCTTTTCCATGACTCTTCATAAAACGTTTCACTGCCTAATTCATGTTGAGTACCCTCTGCAGTCCCACTTGTATTGCACTCAATTATCTTACTACCTTATGTTCATGAAAAGAATGCATTCTGTTTCTTTTCCATTCATTACCATTCCTCTGTAGTTTTATTGGCTTGGACAGTGAAAGAAAAGACAATGGGTGAATATTCAGAGTCTATTTCCAGGATAAACTCCAAATACAGAAAATGTGGCAAACTCCCACTGACATGCAGTGATACACCATCTTCTCCATTCAGTCCTTTTGTTCATTTAGCCAGAGTAAACATTAAATGAGCACTTACATTTTATAAACATTAAATGAGCACATTCATTTAGCAGAATAAACATTAAATGAGCCATGAGCTTGGTCTTCAGATGCCCTGAGGAAAAGGTGTTTCTGCCTTTATCTTTACAGTCTAGAGGATAGAGGCCCATAGGCCAAGAGATTGTGTCATTATCACCTGGTCAGTGCTATGATAAAATAACCACATGGATCAGTGGGAGAGTCTTACAGGCTAAGTAAGGACTGGTCACATGGGGTGAGGTGGGTGTGTCAGAAAAATGAGAACATCCAATGCAAAGGTACTGATGCATGAATGAGATGGGGTGGGCAGGATCTTAACTATAAACATTCCATCTTGATCCTACAGTTAATCTGAAGGCAGGATGTGACAGGAGGTGTCCACAGCAAGGTTGGACTCAAGTCTACAGAGAAAACTTGGATTAAATTTGGTGTGTGTGTTGGGGGAAGTGGAGGATCTCTAAGCTTTGCTGAGGAATTTAAAAATTTTGACTTCATCTTATGAGGAGTGGACAGGCTCACATTAAATTTTATTTTAAAGAAAATACCCTAATGATTATTAAAAGAATAGATTGTCCTGGGGTGGGGACAAGGGTGACAAGAAAATATTCAAGGCAGGGAGACTGGCTAGAGAGTTGTTCAAATAATTCAGGTCCAAAGATGATAAAGCAGGAGGCTGAGGTTGTGGCTCAGTGGTAGAGCACCTGCCTAGCTCATGTGAGGCACTGGGTTTGATCCTCAGCACCACAATAAATAAATACATAAGCAAACAAAATAAAGGTATTATGTCCATCTGTAACTAAAAGAATATTTTAAAAATTCCTGACACATTTCAGGTTGAGTCAGTTGGTTTTAATGTCTCTGCACTTAGATGCCTGTCTTTTCTCATTGTCCTGGAGGATCCCATCCACACAAGCACAAGGATGACCAATCTTCCTAAACTCAGAAATTTTCAGAATTCTCTGTTGTACTGTACATAATGCACTTCTAACATTTTCAGCATAAGCACTGTGAGCCATGCAGGTGGGTACACTGTTGTAATTCAAACACGAGAGGTAGTTAGTTATCCTTAGAAGAAACCTAATCACAAACACTACAAGGACATG